GCCATACAGGTGGATTTCTCTTAAATAAGCTGTTGCACACACTTACCCTGGGAGCAGCTCATGTCAATACTTGATGTGAGTAGTGGATTAGGGGGCAAAGGGTATGTAAAGACTCCTTCTTTCTCCCTTGCCTTCTCATCGGGAATGATTGATGAAGTATGAGAGATTGATTGGGAAGCCTGTACACTGACTTTTTCTTTTAATCCTTGCCTAGCTCTCCCTGCTGCCAGCTGTGTTTTCATGCCTTTCTTACAGACAGATCAGGCACATTCATGACCTGCAGTCTTTTGGTTTTCAAAAACATTTGGCAGAAAGATGAGCTCTCACAAGGAGCAGCTGTTGGACAAACAACCATCTGGAAAAAAAGCATTGAGTAGATTGCCTCAGGATTTTTTTTGGTTTTGGTGGTGGTGGTAGATTTTTGTTTGTTTGTTTGGGGTGGGGCTGATTTTTTTTCTCCTTACAGCATGCTTGTGCCATGGTGTGGTTGTTTTAACCTGTTGGGAAGCTGAACTCTACCACAACCACTCTCTCACTCTCCCTCTTCAGAGAAAAATGGGGAGAAAATACGATGGAAAGGACTCAAGGTTGAGATAAGGACAGGGTAATCACTCACCAATTACCATCAGGGGAAAAACAGACTTAGTGCAGAGAGATAAATATAATTTATTACCCATTGCTAACAGAGTAGAAGACCAGAGCAGTGAGAAACTAAAAGCAAATTAAAAGCACCTTCTCCTCCCATCTGCCCTATTCTCCATCCTCATCCAACCCACAACTCCACACACACACCCTGAATTGTGCTCCACCGGGGGCTCCTCCACCCACGGGGGGGCTGCAGCGTGGAGATCTGCTCCGTTGGGGACCCATGGGCTGCAGGGGGACAGCCTGCTCCACCGGGGGCCTCTCCCTGCACAGCCCGCAGGGGAACTGCTGCTGCCTGCCTGCAGCACCTCCTGCCCTCCTGCTGCACTCCCCTGGGGGGCTGCAGGGCTGCTTCTCCTCTCTTTCTCCCTGGGAAGCAGCTTTTTTTTGTTATTTTTGTTCTCCTTTCTTCAATATGCTCTCACAGAGGAACAAGCGACATCGTTTCTTGGCTTGGCTCTGGCCAGCAGTGGAGCCCTTCTCTAACGTGGGGCAGCTTCTAGATTCTTCTCACGGAAGCCACCCCTATGGCCCCCTGCTACCAAAACCTTGCCACGTAAACCCACCAGAGCAACTCTTTCGGTGAAGAAATTTTTCGTAAGAACCAACCGAAACCTCCCCTGGTACAACCTAAGGGGTTTTGTTCTTGTCTTGTCACCTGGGGCTTGGGAGAAGAGAACGATCCCCACCTCTCTGGAGCCTCCTTTCAGCTTCCTGTAGAGCACAGGAAGGTCTCCCCTGAGCCTCCTTTTCTCCAGGCTGAACAAGCCCAGCTCCCTCAGCCGCTCCTCACCAGACTTGTTCTCTAAACCCTTCACAAGCTTCAGAGCCCTTCTCCGCACACGCTCCAGCACCTCGAGGTCTTCGCTGAACACAGTGCTCGAGGTGCGGCCTCACCAGAGCCGAGCACAGAGGGACAACCGCTTCCCTAGTGCTGAGGGCCACTCTATGTCTGATACAAGCCAGGTGTAGAGATATTTACAGACATATATATGCAGCACTAGTACATGTTCCTTGGAACACTGGTCCAACTCTCTTCACACCCCGTAAATTGATGGTTTCCTCTAACTGGCACTGGATCCTCTAAATCCCATGTTACTGCTTCTGCTTCCCAAGCAGGTGACGGAAACTCCTAAGCGGAGAGCAGAGGAGTTGTAGTTCTGCATCCAGGAAATATTTGGAAGTTTGGAAGATGCTTCCCTTGCTCAGTTGCCATCCCTACGTTAATCAGTCAGCCGATCTTTTGCCTTCCAGCAAAAGTCTTGATGCAGTTCTTAAGGCAAGTTCTTTCTGAAAATCCTCAGCCACCTCTGTGCACGCCCAACCTTTCATGGCACTGTGCAATGCGCGGATGGCAGCGATAAATCAGGTTGTGGAATGAAGGGCAACGTGTGGGGAGGGAATTTGCAGGTGGCTTCGCGCTGTTTCGCAGGTCCCTGAATTAGAGGTAACGAGTAAACACGCGGTAGAAACAAAAACTTGAGCCAGGCTGAGATCAAGAATTGAAGTGTTAAAGAGGACCTTTGGGCAGTGGGCAATTGCTGGCTGGCTCCAGGCGCGTGTCTGAGGGTCTCTGACCAACTGTATGATAGATTTGGGCGCGTGGACAGCACGTGGGGCTACGGGGAGAGGACATGTAGGAGTGAAAAAGGGCAATAAACGCCTCCTGTTCCAGAGCCATCAGGAGTCTGTGTCTTGCATCCCTTCAGCAACACAAATATTTGGCTCCAGATCCAAAATGTCATGTATTTGGCAATTTTATTTATGGTAGCACTCCCTCCCCTCCCCTCCCTTCCCTTCCCCTCCCCTCCCTTCCCCTCCCCTCTTTTGCTTTTCCTCCCCTCCCCTCCCCTCCCCTCCCCTCTTTTGCTTCCCTCCCTCCCCTCCCCTCCCCTCCCCTCCCTCTTTTGCTTCCCTCCCCTCCCCTCTTTTGCTTCCCCTCCCCTCCCCTCCCTCCTCCCCTCCCTCCCCCCTCCCCTCCCCTCCCCTCCCCTCCCCTCCCCTCCCTCTTTTGCTTCCCCTCCCTCCCCTCCCCTCCCTCCCTCCCCTCCCCTCCCCTACCCTACCCTATACTCTCCTATGCTCCCCTCCCTCTACCACGCTACACTACGCTATGCTACTACGCTATGCTATGCTATGCTACACTACCCTATCCTACCTCCCCTCCCCTCCCCTACACTACCCTATACTCTCCTATGCTCCCCTCCCCTCTACCACGCTACACTACGCTATGCTACCCTACGCTATGCTATGCTATGCTACACTACCCTATCCTACCTCCCTCCCCTCTTTTGCTTCCCTCTCCCTCCCTCCCCTCTTTTGCTTCTCCTCCCTCCCTACACTACCTATACTCTCCTATGCTCCCCTCCCCTCTACCGCTACACTACGCTATGCTACCTACGCTATGCTATGCTATGCTACACTACCCTATCCTACCTCCCCTCCCTCCCCTCTTTTGCTTTCCCTCCCCTCCCCTATGCTCCCTGTCCCTACACTCTGCTACACTCCCCTCCCCTGCCCTCCCTACACACCCCTACACTCCCCTCCCCTATCCTACCCTACACTCCCTTCACTACACTACCCTACACTACCCTACATTACCGTATGCTCCCCTCCCCTATCCTCCCCTCCACTCCCCTACACTACCCTTCGCTACACTACCCTACACTACCCTATACTCTCCTATGCTCCCCTCCCCTCTACCACGCTACACTGCGCTACACTACGCTATGCTACCCTACGCTATGCTATGCTATGCTATGCTACACTACCCTATCCTACCCTCCCCTAACCTCCCCTACACTATCTTCCCCTGCCCTGCCCTGCCCTCCCCTTCCCTCCCTTCCCCTTCCTTCCCCTTCCTTCCCCTTCCCTCCCCTCCCTTCCTTTTATTCCCTCCCCTTCCCTCCCCTCTTGTCTTCTTCCCTCCTCTTTTCTTTCTTTCAGGTATCTTCAGATCACTTCAGTCGTTCTCATAGCTCCTATCCCTGGCTGATTCGTGGGAACCCATCAGCAGCAACCAGAAGCGCTCCAGCTGCTGTGTCACTGGTCGAGGAACAGTCTCCAACTGGGAATCGCTGACTTCGTTGTGTGGCTCAGACAGGTGCCTTGCAGTTCCAGCGTGGCCTGGACGTGTCCTCTTGCTGTGTCCCCACCTACAGCGCAGTTCTGCTTAGAAGCAGCAGCAGGCTTTGGAAGATGTCCCACTCCTTCCATTTTCAATGGGTTAGCTTGGCTAGCCGGGTGGTGTCTGTCAATAGAAGACAACAAAGAGATTTGGGTTAGAAACAGCTAACTGAGTAGTTCCTTTGCACAAGGGCAAGGAATATTTACCCCTTCCTAATGGAGACTGCAGTGCAGAGATAATGACGGGTCCTTCAGAGAGCTTTGAAATATCCCTTGGCGATGCTGAGTCCAGAGGACCAGAGGAAATCTGTCTAAAGTACGCCATGGAAGCACTCTGAATTACTTCCTAGCATAGAAGCATCTCTGCTGATACGGCTTCAGCTGGTTGCGGTGTTCTTCTTCACCTAATACCTAAATTCAGATAAGAGGTCTCAATGCAGATGGGAAGATTGAGAAATATAGAAATCACTGATGTGCTTTGAGAACTTCTAAGAACTGAGAACTACATCAATCCAATGTTGTAACATTAAGGCTTGGTTAGAAAAGTAAACGTTAAAAACAAGTAAAGGAGAAGGACAAGTAAGCTTTCTTAAAGGATCTACTATATTTAAAGGATCTTTAAATAAGTAAATAAGTAATGAAATATATGCGCAGAGAGAGAGAGAGAGAGAGAGAGAGAGAGAGATACAGAAACCTAAGAAACTGCTGCGCAGGTTAGCTTCTTGCTCTCTTTTCTCAAAGTGCTAGTGAATACAGCATCTGTGTGCGTTACAAGCATTACCCTCAGTCCACCACAGGTACACACGAGAGGACAGCCTGCAGGTTGCGGAGGCAAAGAAACTGCTCTGGCTGGATGTGAAGAGCCAAGACAGAAGTTGCTGTCAGGGAAAAGATACACAGAGGGGATGAAAAAGACGGAGTGTGCTTCCGACCTTCACAACTTCTGAGCAAGCGGAGATGAGGGTGTGGAAGAACCAAATAAGCTGTTGATCGAGAAGCAGCCTGAAGACTGTCCTTAAGCAGGGCCTTGCATTCTTTTTTAGAGCATTGCTTGCCTTCAAGTGCACGATCATGATTTGATTAACTTTCTACCACTACAGAAATGCACCGGATTCTTTCGCAAAACTTACGGGTGGTAATTGGAAATACTGGTCAGCATTCTCTATTTCCTTCTTCCTCTCAATTCTCTTTTGGCCTGTGAAGCTTTTCAGATCAGAGGAGAAGATCCGCTGTAACACGGAGTTTTGGATACTGCAAAGGAAACGAAGAATCGTACTGACAACTCTTTTCAACCTCACCTGCAACCATCACAGAAAAGAATAGCGAAAGAATGCCGCTTTATCATGGGAAGCATAAATTTGAGCATAGGTGTCCCCTAGCTGAAGCGAGGTGAAGCAGGTTCCAAACAAGGTGAAGGAGCACACCCAGAAGCATTTCCATAAAGCTGTTTTCAAACAAATGCTTTAAAGACTTAGATTTTCTTACAAGCGAAGAATGAAAAAATAAAAAGAAATAAAATTACCTGGACATCCAGTTTTCCTCTAGCTTGCTTTGCTTCTTTCAGAATCTGAGTCTGGAGTGACAGTCAGGGAGCAGCACTGTGCAGAAATGCCAAAGCCTCCCCAGCTTGTTGTACCTTCATCAACAAGGCCTTTGATACTGCCGCCTCCTCAGCAACATCAGCAATTTCCTAGGAAAGCTGGTGTCCACCAGGTCAAATAGGAATGGGAAACCCCTCTTGCCACAGCTTCACACTCACACCAGAGTCGGCAGGACAGGCCGATGGACAGAGAAGTGTCTGTAAGAGTGTTAGAAAACAGACTTGAAACAGATTTCCGCCAACCCAGGAAAAATTACTTGCTCATCCCTTCAAACTGAACTCTCAGTAGAAGGAGGTGATCCCAAGCTGCATTCCTGACATCTATGCTGCAAAGTCATCGAATGCGCCATGTTACTGTACCAGCCATGTTATGAACAGAAACAGGACTTTGAGGTTATGCTGTTTGAGTAGAATTAAGCTCAAAGAGTTAGTCCTTCGGTATGTTTTTGTCTGCAAGTGTTTTCACTGTCTCCCAGACAATGTCTCCAGCAAGCTAGCTGCTTGTTTCATTTGTTCTGTGCTGTTTTGTTTTCTCAGGAAGGATTCTTAGAGAAATGAGATTAAAGTGATCATCTTGTGTGTCCATCCATCCCTCCCTGCCCTTCGCTTGTCCAGAGCTTTTACCTTGTCCACCAGCTTGAATGAACTCGCTCCTAGGCGCAGTTGTGTCCAAGCCATTCTGTTGCTAGGCGTGTGTGCAAACAGACAGCTCAGTGGTGGGGAGAGGTCACACTGTCTGCAGTGTGACCTCAGCGCTTACCAAACAGTAGGGAATACACAGAGAAGGGCGTTAGGAAAACTTCAAGCCCCACATACATTTTACGTGGAAACCATGTTTCCCAAGATAACACTGGACACAACTGCATAATCAAAATGGATTCATTTCTTGGTTCATCCAACTCCTAGGTTTTAGTTTGAAAAGTTTCTGTCTTGGCTTAAAGCACTCTTCCAATCTCTATTTCCAGTTACTATGATTTCCTGAAATAGCTAATCCCATTTTTGTCTTTGTACAATCTCCCAGTCTCTTTGTTTTCCTCTCCCCAAGAAACTTAGAACTGCTCTCTTCATACTTGACAACTAGATATGGAGCTGGATCAGCCAGAAGGAAGTTTCCTTCACACTTTCCGCTTCTTACGGTACCTGGACTCTTACCTTTACTCTTACTCGCCCTTCCTACATTAGCACAAAGAAAGCTGGTTTGGAGATCTGACGTCTTGTTCTCCAGAAGCTACCCTGAATCACCCTTACGAGAGCTGTCCCACGCTGCGAGCATAAGTCTTGAAGTCTGGCCAGATATTTGCTTTCTAAGTCGATAATCAAATCTGTCAAGTAAGAACATGTAATTAATAGAAAGGAAATCCTTTTATTTTGATCCGAACCCCCCCCCCCTTTTTTTTTTTATTATTTTTTTTTTTCTAGACCAAAGTGAATCATGGGAAACCAGCAAAACTCTGGTGAAAATGAAATGAAAAATGTTAAGGTCAGGCAGCTTGCCCACTGCAATTGCTACCCTGAAAGCAGATGGAGTGCATCTTCATACACCACAGCCTGAGACACTACTCGACAGGCCAGCCCATGTGATGAAGTCCATTGCTGTCCTGAATTTTAACATGACAGGGGGACTCTTAAGCCTCTTGTTTATGCTTTAGTACTTGCGGTCTATGGGAGGACCACAGCAGACTCTTCTCTGTCTACCCTTATTTGTTGATCGTCTGTAGGAAGAAGAGAACGTGCAGAGGCCCTCACCCGTACATTGGGTCTGTTCTCACTCTGTGCAGCTCCATCATTGAGCAAAGTACCAAACTTGATGCTTCTGTAAGGACTTGACACAAACTACAGAATACTAAAATGAAGCATTCACAACAAAACCACATTGGTTTCTTCAGCCAAGCATCAAAACACTTACAGAAGGGCATGGGCCCTCTCTGTGCACCTCAAGGTGACATGCACAAATCCTCACGTGGTTTCATCACACCCAGCACCCTTCTCTGTGCCTCCCAGCTAAACGTGCCCAGAGGCAGCTGTTCCCAAAGTGCTGTGGTGACATCATTCAGGTCTCTTTCTGAAGTCATCACCGCAGGTGCCTCCCAGTGACGGCACAACACTCTCTGTTGCTAACGCGTCTGTCTCAGAAACAGCTAGAGAAGTACCACTATGCCCAAACTGACTTGAATTAGAGTAGTTCCCAAATTATTCTCTGCTCCCCTACATCTGTGGAAGGTGTGTGATCAATCTGTTCCTTGAGAAAGGATTACAGCAAAAAGAGCTTGATTCTGATACGTGCCCGTACTTGGAGAGCAGTTCACCTTTGATTTCCATGTAAGAAAAAAGAAGGGGAAATCAACAATTCTCTTCCTCCGAGCTGGGAATAGGAAAGAACCCCAATTATCCAGGAAGCCGTAATAAGGAAACTATGCATCTCCTTGTTAAACATCTTGTTTCTTTGGAAAACTTTTCCAGTCCTTTGCAACTGCGGTGGTCTGAATCGGGTGGGCAGCCGAGTTCCACCACGGCCGCTCTCTCACTCCCCCTCCTGAAAAAGAAAGGGGGAGAAAATACGATGCAAAGGGCTCAAGGGCTGAGATAAGGACAGGGAGATCGCTCAATGATTGTCGTGACGAGCAAAGCAGACTCAGCATAGGGAGATAGTAAGAGTTATTGCCTACTACCAACAAACTAGACACGTGAGAAACAAAGGAAAGAAACCCAAACGTCTTCTCCCCATCTGCCCTCTTCCACCTCCTCCTCCTGAGCAGCGCAGGGAAACAGGGGACTGAGGGCTGCGGTCAGTCCCTGATGCTTTGTCCCCGCCGCTCCTCCTTTCGCTCCCTCCCTGCCCCTGCTCCCCGTGGGGTCCCTCCCACGGGATGCCGTCCTTCCCCAGCTGATCCCACACGGGCTGCCCACAGGCAGCAGCTCCTCAAGCACTGCTCCCACACGGCTCCGTCCCACGGGCTCCATCCATCCATCCATCCCCCAGGAGCAAACTGCTCCAGCACGGGTCCCCCACGGCTGGGCGGCAGCTCCCCCCAGACCCCCTGCTCCTGCGGGGGCTCCTCTCCACGGGGGGGCTGCAGCTGCGGCCCGGGGCCTGCTCCTGCCCTGCGGGGGCTCTCCATGGGCCGCAGCCTCCTCCAGGCCACATCCACCTGCTCCACCGGGGGCTCCTCCACAGCTCCCCCAGCAGCTGTTGTGCAGCAGGGTTTTTTCCCTTTCTTCAATCTGCTCTCCCAGAGGCCCAGCATAGTCGCTCCCTGTCTCAGCTCTGGTCAGCGGTGGGTCCCTTTTGGAGCCAGCTGGAGCTGGCTCTGATCTGACATAGGGCAGTTGCTGGGCTCTGCTCACAGAGGCCACCCCTGCAGCCCCCCCTGCTACCAAACCCTTGCCGGGTATACACAGTACAGAGCAACATTAGCCCACACATACATACACATGCACTGAACCCCTAGGCCCTTTTAAAATAAAAGGTGTACTAATTCTAGCAGTATGAACCTGCCAGATCCTGCCAAAATGTGGACTGCCCAAGTACTTTCAGAGAGGTCAAATGAGTGAGCTGTTCTATTTGGTGCAATACCTACCTCATCACAACTTTACAACTGCACCAGTCCATTAAATTTTATGCTTCTGCATTCAGAAATGATAACTACCTACAGAAAGTAACCATCACTTCACCTTAACTGCAGTAATACTCTATAGAAGTGACAAAAGGTCACTTGATTAAAATATTTTAAGCTGGCCTACAAGGAAAACGAATATGTTTGTATTTCCCTTGGTCAAAGCACAAGTTCACCATTTGATTGCAACTCGTTTGATAGCAATCTGCTAGTATTTGTATAGGAGTCCTTGAAGAATCAGAGGAAAATCAGCAGAAAGAAAACAGAGCAACATAAAACAAACTTAAAGACATCTTGTGAATACCCAAGTAGTGGAAGAAGTGAAAATGATTAATGGTATAGTATCAGTACACAGCAGTACAGTGGAAGTAAGATAGCTGGATTTTAGAAAGCAGGGCCATTAACAGACAAGGTGAAATGACCAGGCAAACACTGGTTGCTGAAGGACAAGGTAGCAAAAAACAAAACAAGTTACTGTTGCCTGTAACACCTGGTACTAAAAAGCCAGGGCAGCAGGCCAACATGCTGATGAGAAAGAGAAAGGCATGGTAATTATTCCTCCCCTCTCATGAAAAACCAGCAGGGTTCAATTTATCCAGAATAAAAACTCTATTCCATTGAAGTAGTATTACAAGATCAGTTCAGTATCTAAACTTAGCTGTCTACTAAGCGGTTCTCTCCTAAGAACTTAGCAATGGCAAAAAGATCACAAGACATTTTGCAAATTATTGCTCCCCCCTCCTTCAAAAGGCTATTATGGGCATTAAATATAGAACAAGGGGAATTAAGGTATAACCCTACCAAAAAAAAAAAAAAAAAAAAAAAGCTTCCTTTCTAAAATCTATAGATGAAGAGCCATGAAAACTCAGGGATAAATTCTAAAATTGGACTCGTAGGCTGAGCAAAATTCAGACTTGGAATACAAAATGAGAGCACTACCTCAGTTGTGTCATTTCATATTCCTTTAAAAAGCACACTGCGTGAATTTTCCCTAAAGTGAATTCAGTCATTCTTCTCTTGCGTAACTGGAAAACAAAACCTAATACACTTAAGTAAACACCTTCCTTCTAACTCTCATTTAGAAGAAAATCTTCTAGATGCAGAAGAAATGGAAATGATGTAGCTGCATTTTGCCATGCTGGCAGTCAGACCAAATAAGATTCAGAACAGACTCTTGACTTCTTTTCGGGAGCAGAGAGCAGCTAATGAAGATTTAGATGAGCATGAAATAAATGACACCTCATATCAGTGCAAAGAATGTTGCCCTTTTACACATCATTTTTATGTCTCGTCCAGCACAAGCCTCCATTTAATGTTGTAACTGAAGAAGCCATACACTTTTCACAATGCTACTGAACTCATCTTGGATGTTACGGATACCATGGTCACTGCACACATGATGACTTTTGCAGAGATGACATCTAACCTCAGCACGAAGTGACAAACATAACAGGTTAATCTAGAGTGACCTCAGATCACTCCCTTCTTGTTACAGGTGTACGTACTGCAATCTACTGCTCATTCTGTGTTCAACAGCCAACAACCATTGGTCTCTTTCTAGGATGCCTAAAAGATAAGCAATATCAATGCTTTAAAGAGGTAAATTATTTATCATCAACAGCAATAGCTTTAAGACAATCACACTAACTTTCATATCTTAAAGAGGCTTTAAAATTCTCTTACAATATAAGCATTATGGAAAGAGTTGCTCTTAAGTGCAACCCAGTAGCACATTTTTTTCATTTCTCATAATTCAATTTTCGGCAGGCTGCTCAGCAAGCCTCTCCACTACTGCAGCAGGCAGCAGCATTCCTGCTCAGTGACTGGAACAGCCACGATTACATTGCCTGCTTTTTACGCTGTCTTGCACACTTTCTAGATCCCTTAATGTTGAAGAACTTGTCCCTACTTATGACTTCTTGACCTTACTTCTGATCCTGACCTTCACTCAGATATGTGTGCTTACTCCGAGTCTTTAAAGGTTTTACTGAGACTATACCCTCATCGTGCAATCTGCTTTTTAGATATTTACCCCACTCTAAATGCTTACTTTTTTTTTTTTGAGGAAAATCCCATTTTATGAAAAATGGAAGAAAAATAATCAAAATATTTTTCCCCTACTGCACGTTCACTGTATATGAATTCATAGGACTGAAATGAGGTTGCAATCAATATCCTTCATTTGTACACTAGATCTATTTTAACACCAATAAAGTATGCAAAAAAAAAAAAAAAAGATGTTGAAGAAAAGAAGCCATTAACTGAGAAGTTAATAAGCTCAGATTCACTCAGCTTTAAAACCAGAACTGAAGAGTTCTTAATAAAAACAGTCTTGTATATTGCAGCTGCTCATGATTCAGGACCCCTTGTTTTCTCTTCCTCTTATACAGACCCTACAATGGAGGGAAGCTAAAAGGCAAGGTCCAGAGGTGTTAGTATGGTAAGCATCCCACTTTGTTTTAGCCTCCTGTTCCACATAGCCCAAGTACCTAGAAAGTACCCATCTTGAAACAGAGGCACTTTGTCTCACGCAAGCTGGTAATTACTGTTAATTTTAAATGGCTGTTTTTAGCCTGGGACAGCTCACCCTTTCTCCAGAGAAGAGGGTGTCTGGAGCAGTACAACTCACAGGGGGTAAAGCAGTGGCTGAGAGATCGAGTGCCCAGCGTCAGCCATGAGCTTGCCAGCACAAGCAGGCGAGCAGGGAGAAGCAGCCTGCACCAGTACCTGCACCCAGCCTCTCAGCACCTTCCCCAGCCACTGAGCTCAGGCTGCCTGCAGAGGAAAGTTTGCCTAAAATAGCTCCCATCCTACCCACAACTCTACCCCACCTTCTCTGGCATGTGTCCTGCTGTTTGACAACACCCCTTCCACACTAACAGATTGAGTCTCCAACAAGGGAATGCAGATATTAATTTCTATTCTGTTTCTGTAATCAATAAGAAAAGATCTGTATATGCTTTATAGTAAACAGATGTTTCTTCAGCAACTGTTAGAAAGGCAGCGTTTCTTACAGTTAGAGGCTGCTCAGAGGTTTACCGAACAGCATGACCACCCCTTGTCAAAGGGGGATGTTTTCACTTGGCATAATTTAACCTTAATCTTACCTAACCTTGTGTTGCTTCATAATTTTTCATAGTGGTAATTCTATAGATTAGATGTCTTTGAACCATGAAGCTACAATTATGGAGAATTTAACTGTATTTATGTAGCTGACAAAAATTATATATCATTTCCTTGGTAGTTATCCTTAAAACACAGAGATTTGAAGGAGTATAGTTCAAAGGCCGCAAAAAGCAGAAAAGGCTTTGCTGCATAAGGACTTCCTTGAAAACTGCCTTTACACTTTAAAGTTAGCCTGTATCCTAAGTCTCCAAGCCTTTGAATGAGCTTGGATATCTGATCAACAGTTCTGCTTTTCCAAAAACTTCTCCATACTGGTTTCGGAAACCACTTTCCCAGTGTGGAAGGAGAACAGTACGATGGTGTGGTGGCTTGTGAGCGGGGAGAGCTGGGGCCAGCTCCCACCCACACCAGCCTTCAGCCCCTTACTTGTGCCCTCCTGTGAAGGCACTGTTTTTGAAATAGTCTTGCTAGCAGCATGAATGCTAGGGAGGATTTTGTTACCTTGGTGAAAGTGCGAGCACAGATGTAGTTATACCATAGCTTGTGGTTGTAGCACAGCGTATTTTGGTTCCTGCATTAGAACAGCCTTCAGGTCTGCTGAAACAAAGCTGCTTTAACACGGTTCTCTTCAGCAAA